GCCCAGAAATTTCAAACCCACAAGTTGAAGCCGACGGACAGCAGAGGGGGGAAAGACGCAGATCTGGGATTTTCTGGGTTCAACAGGTGTTCTAAGACAAGAAAATAGGGAGAAATCCCCAAGCTTTGCCGGATTTCCGACCGGAAAATGGGTGGCGGTAGTTGGGGGGCTCGTCGGGTGCAGAGGGTCGGGGGGCAGAGCATCGGGGAGGAGCAGAAGCAGAAACACGCGGCTGGTGAGGAAGAAAAGAAAGGAAAAAGAAAAAGAAAAAGCAATTCATCCTTATCCTAATTTCTTTTCTTTTTAGTCCCTCACTTTTAAAAATTTTACGATTAAACCCCAAAACAATATTTTCCCTCAAATAAGTCCCCAATTTAATGCTAAAATACCCCAAAATTTTGGGATATTACATAAGACTTTTAAAATCCCCCTAAAATCTCAAATAAATATTAAATAGATACTCAATAGGCCTTTTAAAACCCTCCTAAAATATTAAATAAATTAAATAAATACTCGATGGACCTTTAAAAAAAATATATTAAGAAGTTGAAATATGATTTAATTAAATTAATTCCATTTTAAATTTCTTGATGACTACAATATATATAATTCCTTATTAAATTAATTCTTCATATAATCTTACTATATTATAAAAATTATTAAAATTTTTAATGAATCCTAAATAAATACCTAATGAGCCTTTTAAAATATCTCTGCACTCTCAAATAAATACTCAATTGGTCTTTTAAAAAAAATTCAGTAAGGAAGTTGAAGGCTCATTAAATTAAATTAATACCCTTTTAAATTTTTTGGCAAGCATAATAAATTAATATAATCTTTATAAAATTAATTTTTCATATAATAATACTTAATAATACTTTAATTATATTAAATTTTTTACTAATTTTTCTCAAATTCCATTTTAATTATCATATAATAATCTGAGTTTTATATCTACATAGTATTAAAGTTGAAACAATTTACCTAAATATATAATATGACTTTTACTTCAATTATATAATTTTTTTGGCATAAATACACATTCTATTATATTCAAGTACATATAATCGATGCATTCTCTAAATAATGAATTCCAGTCTATTATTCTGCAATTAACAAAATAACAATTAGGATATTGATTAGAACATCATTTGGTACAACACACTACACAACAAATTTATTAAAAATAATTATTTTTGGTCTAAAAATAAAAGGCAAACAAATTTAAAAATGCAATCTTGCATATAAAATGTAGGAATTGATTAAATCGGTTATACTTATATTATATTTTAATGATTAAATCAGATGAGTATTGAAATGTGTGTTGAATTGAAGGATACATACCAATCATTGTCCTAAAATTAAGACGTAAATAATTCTCAATAAATGTATTTATGAATAATAATTATTAAAATTTTAAAAATTATGAATAACTGCAGCTTGTATTACATATAATTGATGTGTATCAACTTAAAAGACTAATTTGAAAAGTACAAAAAAAAATGTTATAAACAAGCCATCTTAGCAAAAGTAGGAAGTAATCGAACAAACTTACAATAAATCTAAAAATAAAGAGAGTCTCTATGAAGAACTTAAAAATGCTTTAACATTTTCTTTCTCAAAAGTCTAAACTATCAAAAAATTATAAAAATGGCAAAGTAAGAGCCCTTACTAGTTTTAAATATATTTATCAAGATAAAAAGTTAAACAATTCTAATATACACAAAATGAGGGGGAGGGAGAGAGAGAAATTGGGGTAAAAATGATATACTAATAAATATAGATGCAATTAGTGAATAAGAAAGAATAATATTGAGGGAATATGGATAATGAGAGAAATATTAATAACAGATAAATTATTAATATATAGACCAAAAAATGAGGATGAATGTAGAGTAGATAAATGTCGATATAAATATGATAATAAAATATAAGAGAATAAATTAAGAGAAGGAGTCCCAAGAAAAATTGATAAAAAGTGAAATATAGGTAAGTAAAAAAGTTCAAAGAGAAAAAATTAGAGTAAAAAAAAAATACATTTGATAGATAAAGATTCAAAAGAATGATTAAGAAAAAATAATAGAAATGAGAGAATAATAGGAGAATGAATAATAATAAATAAATGTCTAATATAAAGAGGAAAATTTGATAAAACTTATAATGTAGATGTGTATATAAATTTATTGCATGTATTACTAAATAATTTGTGATTTTAAAGTATTTAT